TTTGTCTGGCCGTATTAATTCTATCACTACACATTAGATAATTGTATTTGTATTTCTTCAGCAATTTTTAAGATAAATTTACAATTTGCGGCTTACACTAGGTCAGAGCATCTCGACTGCTCTTCCGTTTGCAACATTTACACTTTTGATTACCTAAGGTGTGTTTAAAGCTATTAAGTGGTGAAGTCCAGAGCAAGTTACGACCGCAATCTGTTTGCAATGTCAATTGGAAAAGTGAACTACTTACGTCGCCAAGCGAGTCGATTGGACATGCAATCCGCAATTCCGCATTTGCATACATTGAACCATTCAACCATTGTTTCCGCCAGACCATATAGGACAAGGTATGTACATATGTATGTGAATGTGCGACTGAATGTACAGGCTGTTGATGGCTCTACACCGATTCTGCTTACTTAGCTGACCTACCAGGACAACAAATATCGATTTTTTTTATATATTTAAATATATATATATATATATATATTAACTTCTATTTCCGCTGCTTGCGCAAATTTCATATTTGAGGGTAACACTAGCACATGAATTTTGGCCAAGAATGATGTTGCCAGATTCAGATGCCAATCTGAGCACGAGGCCAAACCATGAACAAAAAGCCTAACCTTATGAAAATCCGTTGAGTTTTGACCGAGTTATGGAGTACCATTTACACATGAATATTGACCGTGAATAATGTTGCCAGATTTAGATGCAAAATTTATCTAGAGGCCTAACCATGAACAAAAAGCCTAGATTTCCGTATACTAGATATACCCCGGCCTTGCTCGTGGTACGTATGATATAAATTCTCACAAAGTTCTTCGAAAATGAGTTTGAAACCGATCAGACGGTAAACAAAAAACTTCCATACAACCGTTTTCCGAAAATTTACCACTGTTGCGGGCGAAATAATAAATTTGATTACGAAACGTTACCAAATCTTTGACCCCCATATTTCCATATATATAGAGATAATTCTATACAATACAAACTCAAGCTGGCTGAATTTATTTGATTTTGACTAAATTCAACCGCATAGTCGCCATCTTAAAGTTGGCAAGCTTCTTCCGTTGCAACCCGCACGTTTTCATTCTGCGTTTATATTTATGCAGTTTACGTGTCAGCTGGCTCAGGACAGCTTTTTGTGCTACTGCCGAGCAACTTTGGAAAGGGGGAATAAGCAACAACATTTGTCATATTTGGCATGACGGTAACTACTTCCGTGTGTTGTGCACCTCACCTGTCTGCTGAGTGCATTTTCTTCGATTGCGCACGTCGCCCCAGAAATGTTGATTTCTGGCGACCTGAAAATAAACCGTCAGCTTCGGGAGCTGCAGGTGAAGCAGGTGAAGCAGCCACCAGCAGCCAGTACGCAGCAAATTAAATTTAAACAGCTGAGACGTGCAAAGTCGTTTGACTGCAGAATTTGCCAACGAGGTGAAATTGCCCAGAAAGTTCGTTGCTTAAATTTGTCAATAACCGGCAAGAGAATGCACACATTTGATGTCCAATGAAAGTTTCTATGGTATTTAATAGGTTAAGGCATTAGGCGTCAAACAAAGTTGCACTTTTCATCAGCGACTACTAATAGACGCCATAAATTGTTGGTTACGGTGCCATTCGCTTAGTAAGAGGATATGTTATATGTGGGTTATCAGTTCGCCGATAGCAGCAATTTCCCCGTTCCGAATTATTGCCTACCATCGACCACAGGTATACCGAGACAGATTGTCGACTCGGCAAAGTAGGACTAAGGTGTCACGCTGCAAAGATAAATTAACGGAGCTCTACGAACTTGTTGATGTTGTTGACTATCGCTTGTCATTTATAATCGTCCGGATGCACACGAGTACGAAGCACAAAAATTTAATGTCTATTACCGTCTACTTGTCTTTTAAAATTGATAGGTAGACTGTTAGAATTAGAATCGACCAAAAATATGTCTGCTTCACACTCGCAAGCCACTGCTTTTCGATTACAGGGTAAGAGACAGCAATCTAGGAATCAAGAACTATATTTTTCAAAGTATTGCTACTGCTATAACGCTATGAATACAGTATTTCGCTCAGACCTTATTGTTTTACTAGGTAGATTTCTGGATGAACCCTGGGAAACTGACACGGGCCCAATTTGACTGAAGCAGATGTAATCATCTCAATAAATGCTTGATTAAACATTTAGCGGTGATTATTGTAAAAATCAATCAAATTTATTATTTATTTTAGTTTGCCATGATTGTTTTTATATAAAAGGCACAATGATTGACCTTTTTATATTTTTAATTAATTTTGCTATTTTGTATTTACATGGTTGTCCCCAAATTGTTTACTCATGGTCTGAAGTCGGCTATTTTTCGATCATTCGTTATTTGCCACTGCGTGTCAATTCAATTGCATTCAATTCAATTGAATTCACGATTTCATTGTTTTTGCATTATTTATTTAGCGGTTTATTTCGCTGTGGTCAATTGCAACTGGTATAAAAGGCTCCTACAACAACAGCAGACTTTCGATACCGAACAATAATAATCATTATGACACAACCGCAAAACTCCAATGTCATCCAACAGAGACAGGTTTTTGTTTTGGTCGACCAATCAGAATAACCAGCGGGAAAGTGGTATCAAAAATAATTTTCAATTTAATAAGGAAAAAATAAACAAAATCAAAACGGAGCTTTTGGGAAGCTAATCTCATTCTGAATGCATTCTGAACTACCTAAGAGAGAAAGAGTGAATGAAAATCTTTAATTAGTGGCGAGTTAACTGAGGCGTTTGAGGCACAGAGCATTCAATATTAGCACCAGGCACCTGCCAAAGCACAAGTCATCGCAGCATATAGCCACCGAAATAAACTAAAGTGCTCGGCCCGTGGCCATTCTGCATCTGGTACTTCGCATGGAGCAGCTGGTTTTAGAATTTCGGTGTTTAGCTTTTAGCGCCTAAAACTATGCTTTAGTGGTCAAGTGGAACAAACAATATGAGAAGCAATAGAACGACATGGCCAACACACGCCGGCAGCTGCAACAATAACAAACGAGTCAGAAGACTCTAGTCGAAACTTCGATAAGATACCCTGTATCTAGCTGTAAGTTTCCGTAGCATAATTCTATGAAAGCACGCACAGGGGGAAAATGGGAAGCATTATCGGAGAAATGAAGGAGCTTGGGATGCGTACGATTACCGAGAACCCGCTGTACATTTCTACATATTAAATTTGAGCTTGTCAGTTGAGTCGGCATCATTCTTTATACTAAGGACTTAGGTGCAGGGTATATAAATTGGTCTTGCGCAGACCTCAAAAATGAGGCAACAAACAAGGCTCGTTGGCCCGTACCGGGACCGTTTACAGGGTTAGCAACAGAGCAGGCTTGTACGAAAACAAGCGGCCAGGCGGACTAATGGAGGGCTCACGTCTGGTCATTTGCAACGTAGTTCATGTGCTGGACAATGCTTTTTGCACTCAATGTTGAACGCATTTGTGTACATGTGTGGATGAGTCAGTGTAGGAAAGAGCGAGAGTGTGTGTTGGTGTGGAATGCCAGACTGCACTAATATGAGCATGACTAAAGCTTTAATATGAGATGAATAATAATAAAACATATTATATTGAGTTGAGGCTTAAAAACAAAAAAATAGTCAACCATAAAAATTCTCGGTGTTCTCGTATTTGGTCTGTTTGCGAAGGCATGCAAATTTTGAAATCGATTCCAGAAATTAAAATATCTTAAATGCAAATAATAAAATATCCCGATGCAGATAGGTTTAAAAGGAAGGCAAGAAATGAATATTGCCGCTCAAAAAGTTTTCAAGCAAATGTATTTATGCAAGTGTCAACTGAGCAAACTGCAGTTTGCAAATACTCGTATGCCATCCACATTTACTTTAGCCCTCTCATCTCACAGCTTAGTTGCCGTTTCAAATTATTGGTTTCAATTCACTTAGCTAGTACAAATGCTACCTGTGGCGATAAAGTAATCGGAGGTGGCTATAGCTTTAATTTTACTCCATTGATGTTCTTTGGGACTCATAAAAAGATAATTTAGAACTAATTGACTTGGTCTCGTCGGACATTTAATTTGAAGAACAAACTCAGAAAAGGAAAGTCAAAGCCTACGTAGAATGCAGGAAGGCCAATTTAAAAAGCCATATGAGGCACGTGCCCGACCGCCCGCCGTTGGCCAGCAGCGTTCCATTTCCGGTTTGTCTACTGGCGTGTTAATTGCATTTGCGTGTTGCAGACGCTTTGGCCGGCTGTTAGCAGAAGAGTTTTGTTTTTGGGGGTCAGCTGGCAAACAACATAGTAAAAGCCAATTGAGAGCTAGCAAAGCGACAGTCACTGACTGAAGTGACTTCCGCTTATTCGGCATTTGGCATTTGTATGGTCGGTCGGTCACAGAGGGGCGGTCTGCCAAGCAGAAGTCCCATGTACTCGGTTTAGCAGACTCTGATTGTGCCTGTGCCTTGTGCTCTGCTTTGTCTGCAGCTGAGCTCATTGCATTTGGATTTGTGCACTGCCTACCAGCTGCTGTCTCTTCCGGCCATTGGCCTGGGCCTTATGCGTATGCGACATCACTCTTACGATGCCTCGTTCTCGTAATTACCTTCCAAATAGCGTCAATCTAGAAACTAATGAAAGCCTTAAGTGTATGTGTAATGGTGTAATAATACCTCTAAGGCAGATGTCTACTCTCACCAGCTTTCAGCAACAATGTACGCATCATCACAAGGCTCTGGCCTGTTTCGTTGTCCTTGTCTGCCTATCCGTGTCGTTAGCTGCAACTGCATAGTTTGTTTTGTAACCCAATGACCTTACTAGACATGGTCGAGTTTGCAAGCTGACGAACTTATTTAGTAATTAGTGCAGCAAAGGGTTGAGTTTCACTTTTTAGCTAGCAATCTGGTATTAAGTGTCAAATTTATCTAACATAAATTTTGCAATCAAAAATCAATCTAAGGAGCGGCATATTAAATGTTAGCAATTCTCGTATTATTATCGTTTGCTTTAATGACTTTTTTGAAAGTGGCGCACACATTTGCACATGTACTGGCATTGATCTGATAAATTCAATTGAAATTGCCTCATTGATGTTAAATTGAAATAGCTTTTAATACCGTCTAATAAATAAATCACCAGATGAAAGATAAGTATGTAAGTACATTTATGTTCACTATCCTCTTTCAGCAAATGCCTGGCAAGTGACTTCAATTAGGAATTTATGGCTTTTCAATGTTTAAATATACCAGCCGTGGCTATTGTGGATCGGCTACACTTTGTCTCTGAAGCTCTCGTTTTGTTGCAATTTGTTTTAGTTTCCGTTTTTTGCCAGCGACTTTTGATATCACACACGCCACTTACATACACTGTCGGGATACGCACACAATGTCTCATTGATTGTCTGGCGTTGCCATGCTCATCTTTGAGTTTTGCCATAGCAAAGCCATCACTTCGCCAATTGCGACCATTCATTTCGTCTGTCCTTTGCACATAGGCAGAAGGGAAACAATGCGTGACTCACCTTCGGTGTGGTACAAGTCTTTAAAGGTTAAATACCCAACTTGCTGGTAACAAGGTGACTGGCAAAGATTTTCTCGAAATAATGTTTACTGGTAATGAGTGTGAATTTGGGGCCAACGACGATGATCGAAGGCGATAATATTCCGTTCACGTATCATAAAATATATATGTAGATATAACGCGGAAAGCTTGTGACGGAAGCCTGTGCGTTACGCAACCGCAGACCTGCATTCATTCCAATTTCTGCCTGTTTAGCTGTCGATCTGGCTTTCCGGTAATACGGCAGAAAATTATGTTAATCAGCTGAAAAGCCAAAATCCGATATACCAACGCTTTATGTACCGCAGGTAGCGTGCAATGCCGCTGTCATTTTATGTTAATCATACGCCACGTTGGGCGATAATAACGCGCCAAACAAGCAAACAAAATGAAATACGCGTGTCGCATGCGTAATAAATTTTATCAGTACCGCTAACGCAGTGTTGGAATAGACATCAACCAAAAAGTTGGTGTGGAGTTGAGTTCTGTTTAGCATTTGAATTGGCTTTAGAGTTGCAATTGGCAGTTGGAATGGCTTTGGCTAAAGAAGCGCACAAGCCATTCATTGATTAGTGAAACACTTTGCCAACTTGGATTAATATTTGAGGTGCGTAGATATCTGGGCTTCAATGGAAATCATCATGATTGCTTGTGCAATTTCTTGTGACATCAAATTGTATTATATTTGAATTTTGCTTGTATTTTTATTTCTACAAGATTTTAATTGCGAGCTCCGCGCATAGATGCAGCACACACTGCATATATAGACAATTTGAAAGCAACATAAATTTACGTAAACTGTATCCCAGAAGTCGCATGTCACACACATTTAAACATTATGTAAATTTATATACCCACGCTTACTCACACATGCCAAAGCAATGACTATGAAAATGGAAGCGACAGAGCGTTACTTAAGACGGAAGCCGACAGCAGGCACACATTTGAGTAACAAGTACGAGCCTCGAGTCTATGCGTGTACAAACGTGAAAGAAGGGGAATTCAGCTTAGCGACAGTCATGGGAATTTCAAGCACATTTCGCTAATTCTCAGCCCCCTGATACACTCATGCAGATGAAGATGCTGCGCATATTGCGAGTAGGAAATGGGTATGCGGGTAACAGGAAGCTGCCACTGGCCCCGGCGATCAGTTGTCACAGATATTCATTGTAGCAGCCGGGACCATTCCCAGCGCATATAAATATTCGCACTTGGTGACATTTGGCTGATAAATCTCTGCCGGATTTAGCGGAAACAATGGCAGTGTGTGCTGCTGAATCTGGACTTACCTTACTTAGTCTTTGTTCACCTGTTTGGATGAGCATTCGCATGTGAATCGTAAGCAGCTGCCGCTAAATGTCCTTGATCATTTAGCCGTGTACCTTGAGAAGAGAAATGGAATTAAATAACTTAAATTCGAACCAAAACGAGGGTCTAGAGAAGGCCCGAGCAAGAGAAAACTCGGTAAATTACTTAAAAGGGTTTGAATCTAAGGGTTTTGTGTATCCACAGGTCAACTTGCCAACTACTGAAATTAATAATAAATAAAGGTATACAAAAGGGTCTACATCAGCTGCCGTGTTTCTAACAATATTTCTATGAGCTGCCATTTTTTAAATCAAATAAACTTTTCAAAGGTAACTGTCTTCTGTTTGATTATGCAATATTCATACAGTCAAAACATATAAAACCACGCCATAAATGTAATAATCAGAAGTGACCCTGTGGCTACTTATGAAGGACCCTAGTCTATTTTGAGAACGTGTAGATGTGTAAATAAACCCAACACTATTTCAATTAAAAACAAGTGACCAACTCATTGACCCATCGGTCGCCCATTTTTCAACTCAGACCACGGTACCTTTAGTTGAGCTCTGTCAAGTGGACCATGTGCCAGCACTAACCCAGTTCTGTGACAGGCAGGCGTCCAGTAGGTCAAATGTTGCTTACACGCACGTGAGCTTATTTGTGAACTATGCCGCAGTGGAAATAGGGGAAAGGGGAGAATCCTGCAAAAGCCCAGTGGAGCATGATAATATTTAAGTCGCTATTGCATTCGAAATTGATGAATTCTTAGAGTAGGCTTTTTCTGAGTTTGCCTTTAACTTTATTATGCTTAAGCCAAAACAAAAAAAAATGAAGTAAAATTGTCAGGACTGCATAGTTTTAAATATTTTCCATTAGTGCGAAGCGCTGGACAATTTTCATAGCAACAGGATAAACGAGGGAAAGCTTGCTTCGCTTATTTAATAATTGCATATTTATCAGTAATTTGATTGGAATTGTAGTGCGCTTGGCACAAACAGAATTCTTCGTCCTCAGTCGTCTGAACTATTATATGTAAATCATTTGATATAAGCTTGTTAACAACTAACAGCGGAAAATTAATATTCTCAGCTTCTCTCATACTTATGCGCACAAGGATATGCACACGAGCTTCACTGAATTAGGATTAATACTACCACCCCGTGACGTCACTTGCCAGCGTCTTATCGAAGTGCTTCATCAATGTACAACACGGCGTATGCGTGTTACACAGCCGTATAATTTGCCATGACATGCCATTAAAACATATTTTAATGCACTTCAACCTCCACTACAGGCCCTTCACACAACGACCTTCGGAATTACATATGTGCGTAGAGTGGAAATCGGTGCAGCGTGCTCATTAGTCGATTTGCATTTCAATTAATTTAGCTTAATTGGATTAATGAGATACTTGCTTTTTGGGGGCAGATTTACTATCCATCGTTGTTATTGCTGTTATTTTATTAAAATTTGCATATATCAATTTCATAGACATGTGTTCGCATTTAATTGGAAAGGTTTGCTGATTTGCCGATAAGGGTTCGCTCTAATTGAACAAATACGCAAATTAGCCCAGTAGGGGACATAGATGCGGGTCGGCTAGTGGCTGCAAATTAAACTACGTGTGGTTAAGAAACCATAGCATTCATGGTGATAAGTGGGTGGTAGAGGATAGTGAGTAAATTCAATATATGGTTGTTTGTTAATTAGTTAGGCAACGATTATGGGACATATAAACCCAAATTCTAAACTTAGACTCAAATAACAGTTGAACATGTGCTTGGGTCATTTTATCAACAGAAAACAGCGCAAGGAACTTACCCAAGAGTTATTCGTGCAGAAGTCGTAGTTTTTAGTGAAGCACTCACAGACATTTCAATTTATTGCAGTTCTTGTTGCAAAAGCCTTCAGCGAAAAAATGTATTCGTTGTCAAGTGGCTAAACGAACGTCTAAGAAGCTCTGCTTTCTGCGCACTTTTCAAGAATAATAAACTTGCAAACTCAGATGACATCAGAAAAACATTTTACAATTACATATCGTCTTTGCGCAGTAGGATGTTAATGTTAGAAAACTTGTGCATCACAAACCTATCTTCGACTAAAGTCTATTTAATTGTGAATGAATTTTTGGTTTTACAGAGCTTGCACTTTCGCTGTGCCTTTCATCATGGCAACAATATAAACACACACACGTATACACATATATGGACATATAAGTGCATACATATATGTTTTCGATATACAAACACATTCATATGTAAATACTTTTCAGCTTGTTTGGCGCTTAACAGTCTTAAAATTTGATTTGCTATAAACATTATTTTAAAAAAATATGTGTGCTTATAACTTTTGTAGGGCCTCTGATGTTCGTCACAATTGCGAAACATGTTGGTATTTCCGTTTTAAGAATTTTTTGTTTCATTGCACTCACTTCCGCTGCTACGCATACAAGATTCTTACAAACGTATACTTGTCTTATATAAGAAAATTAGACGGCGTATTTACTAAAAGTAATCGCTAAATAAAATATAATATGCTGCTTATGAAATGGATTAAGTGTCTCTCATATAATTGCATTATACGCTAAGTTTGCCGCATTTTCCCCTATAATGTTAAGCAATAAATAGAAAAAGAAGCAGAGAAATTAAAAGTTGCAAAACATTAAACAATGCAAAAGTTTGCTTATATTGTCTTTCCCTTATAGTGAAGCTTACTGCATGTTCAACCTTACAGGTATTGCCGCTTACAACTTTTTCAATACGTGTTTCAGCGATTTTGGAAATTTCGTTCGCAACAGTGGTAAATTTGCGGAACAGGGTTCGATCATCATCATTATCAGAGATCCCTGTGAAACATCATTTGAGACACGCTCAAAGGTTAAATTGGCGATGTTTCAGGTGTAAGCTAATTTTCAAAGATCTTTAGGATAATTCATTTAAGACGTGTTTCACAACATGTTTTGCAAAATGTAAGCTTCATCGATAGAAAATGTCGGTCAAAAATTGTTTGCGGTAATTTCTAAGTTTCGTCCCAGCGGAAAGTCCCCCCCCAAAATTACATAATTGATTCCAACTTTTAGCTCTTAATACGATGGACTTTAAACATATATTCAAGTAGAGGTGGAGTTTAAGATAGAGCGGATATATTTAAAATTTTCATTGAATTAAAAAGTTATATTTTAAATTGTAAGCACAAAACTAGCCGGGGCTTACCCGCTAGTATGTATACAGAAAAGTTTTTATGACTGGATAACTGAACGACTGACTGAAAGGCGTCCAACGAACAGCAGAAGACGTCAAACCAACAAAGCTAAAATTATTACTTAAATTAAGTAAAATAATTTCGGTAGCACTTACATTATTTTAAAATCCGGCGATGTATCAACTACACCCAACTTCTACACCGATACGCTGTTTAGGTCCAAAGTTGGCTGTCGCCAGTGCGAAAAGCCATTAACTGCCCAACAAGCAGCTTAAACTTCAACTTCCAACAGTTGAGCGCATAAAAATAAAACGTTTCCCATGAGAAATGCGGCATAGAAAAGGTTTCTTGCGCAACATGCAACTGTTAAATGGCTGATAACTTCAATAGTTCTAATGAGGAAGCAAAAAGCGACATTGAAATATTTGACGACAAACACTCAGAGTTGCTTTTGATGGTGTTGATAGTGTAAACGCTGGCATGGTAAAAAGTACATAGAAGCGACGTTTCATGAGAAGACAAAGTTTTTTGGGACAGTCGCGATTGTTTTTGGGGCGATGGTAGAGTTTATTTTTGGGGGCATGTTTACGGATATTAAATACTTTTTAATTAGTTTCGCACACACAAAGTAAAAATATTTAATTAGAGCACAGCCATTTACCCCTTGGACTGACTATGTGTGGGTCATATGCAGTTAAGCAGCATATAAATCAGTGCACAAATGTGAGCCACAGCAAGACTCTTCAATATGCGTCAATGCGGGCGGTAGTCTCTCAATAAATTGCATAGAAACACAACCTAACTTTTAGCGGAAAGCCAAAAACTTTTTCAATTTGATAGCAAGCACAAAATGGGCTTTGCACTGGAGTGCTCAACGGCAAGATACCCTACACCCATGCACACATGTACAGATGCAATGCTTATACGGATATTATGAATATTATAAAAGGATTTTTGTAAGATAACTTTGGCATAATATATTGCACACTGCAATAGTTAGTCCCTATACACCATTTCTATAGGGTATAGGGCGCATGAAAGCAACCAACATTAACCATCAAAAAGCAATAGCTTCCATGTGTGTGCTTCAGTGTGTGAAAGTGCGCTTTAATTTGCTGGTAAATTGCGCTCAAAATCCAAATGCTATCCAGACAAATACACAGCCATAAATTGGCCGCGCCAACGCGGCGTATGTAGGGAGCCCCAGCCGCCCCTTGCAAAGTTAGCTAAAATATATTTTACATCCTCTTTTTGGTCTTTTTTAAATAAGCATCGTCAGAATTTTGCCCCACTATTGCCCCTAAGTGGTCTCGCCTTCCTGCCGGACTGCCTACAGTTCTTTTTAACTTGTTGGCTTATAACCATATGTGCATGCATATTCCTAATTGTCCGTTAGTAAATTAGTTAGACTCGACGCGAGTACACACTTGTAGAACTTTGAAAGGCAAACGGGTAACTATTCATTAAAAAACTTCAGTTAAAGTGGATCGCCTGCATGGTAAAATAATAATTTTGAGTAGATACTGATACACCTGTTCTATATAAGGCTAAGGGGATTTGAAGAAGTTATATTTTAAAGTCTTACCGGCCATCAATTCTTAAATATATATTATTAATTTATATTATGGGCTCACTTATTAAGGTTGAAGGTTTCATATGGATTGGGCAAAACTCTATGCTGATTAAGGTGCGATGCGCAAAACGCAATTGAAAGTCCGGCTGCCGGCTCCTGGCGATTGTTGGACAGCTTATTCTTAAAGAATTCCAGATGTTTGAAAACTATGCGAAGCTTGAAAGGTACAAAGTGCCGTGAACAGGTTTGTCCCACGCCCCCATTTTATATACATATATATTTGCAATTTGCTGTGCATGCGTTTAATGAGCTGCAGTGAGGCAGTGGCTCTGACATTTTGCGGGCAGGTTGGTAAATGGTAAAAGTACTACATACAAACGATAACGGAAGCGAGGGGCACTTGAAGAGACCAGAGCGAGAAGAACAATGTACAGATAAGCGAGGGACAACACTCAAGACGGCCGCACCGAGGGAGCTGGGAAAATGGGTAAGCGAAACCAACAAATATGCCGGCGAAAATGCGAGGAAAGTGTGTAAATGACACTGAGCAATTTACAAT